TTCCCGTCAGCCGCCGACGAGCACAATGCCACACTCTTACCGGCCACCGGGAGCCCATGCTCGGCGAGCGCCTGGCATGTAGCACTCAGGCCGCAGAAAAGCCCACCGCGAACAATCGCGCGCGTGCCCGCGGCGTGTTGCGCGAGGTCGTCAACCCAAATGCGGAAGGACATCCACGGTCGCGCTGAGGTTTAACGCTCCAGGATGTAATACACCAGGCAAGTCCCTGGATAATTTTCCGCCACGGTTGAGAGGCGAGATGGCGCGACCCCATTTGCGACAGTTCACGCGGAGCAAGACACATGTGCTGTTCAAGCGCGAGCACTTCAGGCGGAAAGCCCATCTCAAGAGCTGATCTCGCCAACGGTGCCCACCGCATGGCATCATAGAAGACCTTGATGTCAAGGAATCCTACCCCACATGAGATACTCAAGCGCGAAAGCCCCCCGTCGCGCAATACAAGCAAAAACGCTTCGCGGGGGATGGAGCCCCCCGCCGCCGCCGCGGCCCAGTCGGGCTGGGCGCCCTTAGACCAAGAACGGGCAACATCCTCATGGGCCACGCCCTGGAAAACATAGACACCAGCCCGATAACCCGACCCCCCCTTTTTCCTTGCCCAGGACACGCCCCAGGACCACCGGTAGTTGCCGCGGCCAGGAGAGGCCCGACTCAGAGGCCCCGAACACTTCAGGAATCTCGAGAATCCCTCGGGGGGAGGCACCCCATAGCCAGGGGGGCATGTCGTCAAGCCCGCGTCCTGCTTTGGATCCCATCGAGTGCAGAGCACATTGAACACGTTCAGGCCGCAGCGGCTCACGCTGCCCCACAGCGACCGCGCCCCTGATCTCCCCGAAAATATTGGCAACCTCGTCAGGCTCGAGAGCTCGGGGGCTCTATGGGGCATGCAATTGGAGGGCCTTTCTGTCGGGGGCGCCGATCGGATGGTAGATGTTTCACCGTCAACCCGAAGCTCATCAGGGACCGTAGGAACCACCATCAAAGCCTTGCGGAGTACCCCGGGGGCCCCAGGCGTGGCAACCCAATCTCTCAATTTCTTGAGTGACCCCCCACGGCGAGCGCCCCAGACGAACCCTCAGAGAGAAAACCACGCAATCGTCGGTTCCGAAATGTTGGACCCGAAGGAGCTGGCGGCTGAACCAGATCTCGCCACCCCTGTCGGCCCTGTCACGCGCAGCCTCGGTCTGCCCCCTCCCTGTATAGCGAGCAGGGTTGACCAGGATTGCGCGGCTTCCTTGGCCTCGCGGCGCCAGCGCAGCACGTCCTTGCTGGAAGAAACGCGCGACCCGACGAAGCCGAAGTGGTGGCAGGGCAAGCAATTGGTGCTGGTGATGTTTTTCCAGGCCTGGTGCTGGTGATGTTTTTCCAGGCCCTCATGCCCAGGGCCGCGATGTTGGCCGCCACGATGAAAGCGTCGGCCCCACTCGCGGAGAGCGAGGGCCGCCCCCCTGCATGTTGCACTGACGACTGCGCACACCCATCAGAAGATGCCGAACTCCTGGCGATCGTAGAAGCGTCGCTGGCATCGGCGGCACAGTCCGCACAGGCCCCTCGCCTCGATCATGCAATTGGTATGTTGGCCGCGTCCTGAGCCATCTTGGCTGCCCGCGCAGCCTCCCCCATGGCGGCGGCAAGCTTGGCCGCGACCTCCTTGAGGCGAGCCCCCTCGCGTCCTCCGCGGCCGCCGCGGCCGGCGGCACTGCCGCGCCGGCGCCTGCGGGGGCCGCGGAAGCTGGCGGACTGGTCTGCTCACCCGCGCCGCCAATGCCCCCATCCTGGCACCTGCGCTCCTTGGCAATGCGCGCCCAGATCCGCTGTTGCAACTCTTTGGCCCTGGCGAGCCACGCCTGAGCGCATCCACCTCAGCCGGCTCCGCCTCGAGCTGGACGAGCGGCCCGAGAAGGGTTTTGCCCCGCTGAATGCCGAAGAGGGGCCCTCATCGGCGTCGACGGCGGACAGGACCTCGCACTTGGCCGCGAGAGCCTGGACCGCCATCTTCTGAGCCTCCTGGGCCGCGACGAGCGCCAGCGCGGTCTCGGCCTCGCGCTCCTTCGCCCACGCGAGGTCCTCTCGGCACCGCTGGAGCGCAGCGAACGCTCGCTCGCGCAGGAGCTCCGCGCCCCGGACCGCCCGCACTACCTTGCGGAGCGCCTCCTCGGGAGTCGAAGGGGCTCCGCGCACGGCGGCCTTGACATCGGCGATCTTGGCCTGCAACGCCCTGTGGAGCGCGCCGTCGCCCGACGCGGTTGCCAGCGCCCCCTTCCAATGCCGCCAGGGGCGACGAGGTGGAACTGGACGCCGCGGCTAGGGCGAGCCGATTGGAGGCTGCATCTGCACCGTCACCAGGTTTCTGGCTGCCGCTGGTCATCGTGCTACGGTAGAGCTTGACGAGGCGCCCGCAACCAGAACATGTGCGATTTGCCTTGAGCAAGACGGTGTTCCACTCGTGGCGGGCGCAGCCCTCGCATGCACTACATGCGGC